GGGGTGATTGCTGCCTTGCAGGGGAAATGGGCAGCTCTAGAAGACCTCGAGGACCTGGTGGAAGGGAGAGCTGGGGCCAGAGGGTCAAGGTTACAGAGAGGCATGTGGGCTTGACATGGTGAAACTGTCTCCCATGGTCGGAGCTGTCTGGAAGTGGACCCTGGGCTGTGTTATGACCCCACGCGGGAGCCCCTGTAGAAGGCAGAGGAAAGAGCATGCCCTCGAGGCAGACAGAGCCGGGTGTGAGTCTGGCTCCCAGATGCCACACTGGGAAGATGCAAATATGTTTCACGGCCCAGGACAAAGCATTACCATGATGTCCCAAATGGTCAAGCCTTATCCATCCCACATCCCACTCAGCCCCACACTACGAGGGGCCGTGAGTCGCCCACGGAAGCCGGCTCATGCGGGCACGGGGGTGGGGGGCGGGATGGGGGCAGACTGACGGAACCCACCCGGCCGGGAAGATGAGCGTCTGGGCACACCGGGGTTCAAGTCCAGCTCTGCTGTTCACAGGTGGTGGGGCATGCTGCCAGGCAATGGACAGCCCCTTCTGGGCATCTGCTTCCCCCCTGCGAGTGGGGACACCCCAGCAGCCCTATGAAGTGCTGTGAGGGTTCAGGAGCATAGGCCAGGTGTGGGGCTCTGAGGGAGTGTCCCCTGAGCCACGACTGCCATGACACTGAAGTAGGGTGCGGCCCGACACCCTAGAGACCTCGGGGATGGAAACATCCCCAAGTAAACAGAGACGCTCCGCTCAGGTTGCCATACCCTGCAACCTCGCAGCCTCGAGGCCCGCTGTTTGCAGCCCGTCTGGGCTGGCCCGCATCCGGCTGGTCCCCTCAGCGGCTCACAACGGGATCGTCTTCCGAAAATGGGCTGCTATCTGAGCACCACCCGTGCGCTCCTGTTGCAACTACTCTGCTTTTGCAAGCCTCTCCACGTGTCGGGACCTGCACCCTCAGTCCCCACGGAGACCCAGGGGGCGGGGCAGCCTCAGAAGCGCAGAGAGGTTCAGTGATCAAGAATGCTAGCAGGGGACAGAGCTGGAATGAGCTCAACAGACCCGATTCAGGGCAGGCCTTACCACGTCCTGCCAAGGCAGGTGCAGAGCAAGCCCCCAGGTTGGGGCAGAGGAGGGGCCAGTGTCCTGGAAGCTGCTGCTGTCAGCCACCGTGGCCGGTGCCAGGACAGACCCCGCCATCTGGACCCCTTCCCACCCTCTCCTCTCATTACTCGGATGTGCCCATCTTCTCTGGCCAGCTCGCGGCTCTCCCACGCTCCAGAGGACGCTCTGGAGGGTCAGGGTGTCAGACAGGTGACTTCTCCATGAGTGAAGGTCATGCTCCCTTTTCTGGGACAGTAAGACTGGACTCGCCAAGAGTTCATCAAAGTCAGAGCTTGATTCCAGAAAATAGGCCATCTATCCCCAAACTACCTCATTGACAGAAACCATAAAGAATCAAAGGGTCTTGGGTGGTGGGTTAGGGAGTAACCGAGCTCAGGGATGCCCATGCTGAGCCAGGGAGCGCCAGCTGGGTCTTGGGCAACAACTGTCCTTTTCGGGAGCAGCAGAAGACAAATCACAGTCCCCTGCCTGTGGGAAGCTCCCGAGCCAAAGGACAGTGGCCCCTGCAGAACAGAAAGGTCTGGGCCTCCCACCGAGTCATGGACTTTCCACGAGCCCTCCTTAGACCCGGCAGCAATGCTTCCTCATTTTTACTGGATTTTTAATTGCAAGAGAGAAGCACGCACCACGAAGAAAATTCGGGAAAGTCGCAGAAAGGATAAAGATGCAGATGTGTGAAAAACCTCTTTCTCCTCTTGCTGCTAGAGAGGGAGACCACTGCTGACATCTGGATGTGCGTCCTTCCAGATTTGCCTCCTTTACTGCACTAGTAGACTCGAGATCACGCAGGACGTATGATTCTGCTGTCCGCTGTTTTCGGAGAGAAACCGGTTTGCTTGAGCATCGCTCCTCCCATTAGAATCTCCTCACACACTGTTGGCCAGGATGCGCCCCCCACTCCCCCGACCCTGAGAAGCTTCGGCAGGATGTGGACTGAGTCTGTTCCTGCCGGGCCCACGGCTCGCGGGCGGGAAGCACTTGGCCACTGAATGAGGGACTGCACGGCTGGCTGATACCCGTCACCCCCCCCCCCACATTTGTCGTACTGACGTGAGCATCTCTGGGGTGATGTCCTTGTCCGCCCTTGGGTTAGGTGAAGAGATGTGTCCTGTTCCAGAGACCCAGGGCTGTGCCAACCCGAGTAGGGGACGGGGGCTCAGGTCCCCGCTCTGTCACACTCTCTACTTGACCCTGGACAGTTGCTTTTCCTTCCCCGGGCCTCGGTTTCCCCTCTGTGCATGTGAGTGGGTTTGGACGGCAGTATCTTCTAGGTCCCTTCCAGCTCTGGGATCCCAACTGGGCAGCTGTGACCACAAGACAGCTGGGCCAGATGCTGGGCTCTCCACCTGGCCCTGGCCCTGGCCCCGTTGTGGGCTGAATTATGCCCCCCTCCAAATTCACATGCTGAAGTCCTAACTGCTAGGACCTCAGACTGTGACTGTCTTTGGAGAGGGGGACTTTACAGAGTAATTAAGGTAAAACGAGGTCAGGCAGCTGGTCCTAATCCAATACGACTGGTGTCCTTACAGAAGAGGAAATTTGGACAGACACGTACATAAGGAAAGCCCTGTGGACATAGAGAGGAGACGGCCATCTACAGGTCAAGGAGGAAGGCCGCACCTTGAACTTGGACTTCCAGGACCTGGCACCCATCGGGGGCAGGGCTGGCCCCGGAGCCCCTCCCAGCTCAGGTCCCCTCCTCTGCCCCACCTTGCCCATCGTGACTCCAGAGGCTGCTGCCACGTTATGAGGTCACCGCCACAGGCCTCATCTACTGGGCCCCATACGCATGAGCCGGGACTGCAGGCCGAGCTAAGGGCATTCCCTCCATACAGTGGGGAAACTGAGGCACAGGGAATCCATAGCGAGTGCACTGGATTTGGATCCAGGCCTGACACGGAATGCCACCTCTGACAATTCCCCCAGCCACCCGACATCAATGAGCCACAAAACAAGTAGGCACATATGTGGGGCCCAGAGGCCACACCCGAGCCGTCCCCAAGGACGTGCACAACGGCCAGACACGAGAGCCAGGTGCCGGGCACAGGGACCACACTCTCCCCCACTGCAGGGTGGCCTGGGGATGCATCTGGGGCATGAGCCGCAGGCGGATGTGCAGCAGACCCTCCAGCAGTTCCGAAGGGCTGAGCTAACGCAGGGAGGCTGAGGGGAGCGTGACCCTCCAGCAGTGACCGTCACAAGCCACTGAGGACCTACTATGTGTGCAGTTTCCCACTCAAATCTTGCCCTCTCCAGGCAAGGCGCGGTGCTGCTTTCATACCTCAGGAAGCCGAGCTCAGAAAGGTGCCACCATTTGCCAAGATCACAGTTTGCCACCAGGCAGACCTATGGGTCAAACCCCAGGCCCCTTGCTTGTTCGAATCATGACCCCCCCACACAGCCCCCAGTGCCCACATAGCCCGTCTCCCAGGACGACCACAAATGCCAGTGCTCCTTCCAGGGCTCCCCCTGATTACAGGGGGGACCGGAGGTAACAATTATGATCCCAGAAAGCCTGGAATTACCCTGTGTGCACCCTGCCATTATCCCCACCTGCCATTAGATAAATGTGTCTGGAGGTTCTGCCAGGTCTCAGGGTGCCCTGCTCCCCAGCCACCTCCAGGTAACAGGCTGGCCATTTCAGAAATCCTCTTCTAGAGAATTCTGCCTCCCGATGCCTGCCATTTGCTCTCAGCCACTCTCCCAGCGCCCATTGCCAGTGTGGTCCCTCCTTCCTGGGTTGGAGGGGGAGGAGACGATTTCCCCTGCGAGATGGGTCCCTGGAAACAGCCCTCCTAAACCGAGAGCAGGGAGCAAGCACTCACCAAATGCACACTACCCCCCCACACACCAGTCTGATTTTCCCCCAGCTTGTCCAGGCTTTTTTCTGCACCATGGCCAAGGGCCACCATACTGCAGTCTGTGGCCAAATAGGCTCAGAGGAAAGATCACAGGAGTCAGGGAGCACCCGGTTCGAATCCCCACCCCGCTGTGTGAGCTGAGCAAGTGACTCAAGCCTGGTGAGCCTTGGGCGCACCCTGAAAAATGGGGTGATGGCCCCTCCCTGCCAGGGAATGTACAGATCAACCCTCTCGGCTCAGCTCAGTGCCCGGCCACAGGAGACTCTCAAAACCGGGCTCCTCGCATCAGACTCTGCATGCCAAGGTCTCCCTGCTGTTGGTCTCAGTTTCCCTAAGCGCAATAAGCCCGGCTGGCTTGTGACGATGTGGGATTTTCCAGGGCCCGCACAGAGGCTGTCAGATCCCGTGGGTGCGGCGGGAGGCAGCAGTGGGGATGCGCAGGGGGGGGCCGGAGAGATGCCGACTGGAGGGAGATGGGGCGGGCCGCACACACCTGCGGGCTCTGCGCCCCCAAATCTGCAGCGGGCGAGCCCAGGGCGCTGGGGGTCGGCCTGACGACACCCCCACCCCCCGCTCAGGCGGAGCGAGCGCCGCGCACGGGCGGCGCCCCCTGCCGCAAAGCCCCCAGTGTGATCACACCTCTCCGTAGCAGGGTCTGCGGCGGCCCTGCGCCCCTCGCCCGTACCGGTCGCCTTCTGCAACCTGCAGCGACCTGGGACCGGTGAGAAGCAAAAAAGTGGCGCCTTCCAGACAGCCCGGCGCAGCCACGCTGGCCAGCGCGGGGGGAAGGGGGTCCCCAGACCGCTCTGCGGAGCTGCACGCGCCCCGGGCGCAGGGGCAGAGGGCTGCTGACAGGCCCTAGGGTTTGCAAGACCCTGGGGGTAAAAGTTGGGTGGAGCACTGGGTGATTTCCCCTGTGCTGCAGGTGCAGCCCCAGAATGCCTCCACAGCCCTTGCTGCGCCGCGATCCAGCTCGGGGACGCGCCGGTTCCCTTGGTCGCCACACTCACCTGCACTCATCTCAGCAGCAGCTGGGGGACGGGCTATCCGGCGCTGCGGCAGCCAGACGCTCCTGCCCGCAGGTGCCGCGCCCGTGCGATCGCCCGCCCGCCCGCCGATCAGCGGGCGCTGGGCAAGGTCCGCGCCCGCCCGCAGCGCCGCCGCAGCCCCCTGGAGCTCCGGCCCCGCCCCGCCGGCCCCGCCCCCGCCAGCCCCGCCCCTGCGCGCCGCTCCGCCCCGCCCCGCCCTCGCCGCGCCGCGGGCGGGACGCACCCTGGGAAGTGTAGGCGCAGCACCCCCGCCGCTCCGCCTTTGCGGCCCAGCCGCCGAATGGACAGACTACAAGTCCCGGCAGGCCGCGCGCCCCGCGCACGCGCAGACAGGAGACGCCGCTGTGGCCTCTCGCAGCCTCCGGTAGGTCTCTGCGGGGTTACCCTCGCGGCCTGGCTGGTGGCCTGGCTGGCGCCGGCTCTCGACAACCCGGAGTGGTGCGGAGGGAGGCCCAGCGGCAGAAGCTTGGTGCAGTTCTTCTTGAGTCGTGGAGCTGCAAGGGCCCCGAAGACCTTCTGGGCCAACCCACCACCTTCCCTAGTTTGCAGACAGGGAAACTGAGGCTGGGCGGGGCGCGGGCTGGGATTCCGGCGCCGAGCTCAGGACTCCAGGTCTAGAACAGAGCACCGCCGGCTTCTGGCCCGCTGCACCGGCTGGCGCCCGAGGAGGGGGGTGCGTCGTACCCCATGGCAGTCCGGGGCCCCAGCCCCTCGCTGTCACCGACTGCCCTCTGTGATGTCAGGCGCCTAGCACAGGGTGGGGTCCTGGTACAGGAGAGGGAAAGAGTAGGGGTGGGCGTCAGGAAATCAGGGGGAGCGGGCGGAACCCGCCTGGTAGTGACAAAAGGGGACTTTGGGGTGCAGGCTGGACTGGGGGAACATTCAGGAGGCAGAGTCTCAGAACCTGGCACTGCGGGAGGAGGTCGCAGGAAGACACTTGGCTTGGGCCAAGGCTTTTGGGAGATGCTGACGAGAGGAGGGCTGACCGCTGGAAATGTGGACTCTAAATGGAAAACGGATGCAGAAGCAGATACTCTAATCTGGTCCTCAGCAGCATCCATCTACCCCGGACAGGGGCTCCAGGAACAGCCGAAGTCCTGCAGAATCAGCCATAGGCCAGGCCAGTCAGTCCCGGCCCCACACACCCTAGCCTGCTGCGGTGGCTTGGCCGGCAGCTGCTGCCCACTGGTGCCTTTTCCCCAGAACGCAAGTGCACTGTGATGGAAGGAGCACTAGAAAGGATCAGATGTCTTCTTCCTGACCCAGCTTCCCCTCTCAGTGCGACCTTGAGCAAGACCCTTCCCTTATGTGGGCATCAAGACCCCCCAAGCTGAGTGAAGGGGCCACCATTGGCTGAGAGCATTATATTTGCGTTGTCGGTCTTGGCTAGGGCAGCTGCAGGCCAGCAGGGGTGGAGGCCCCGGGGGGCCTGACCACCTGGTGGGGAGCCTGGCTTCACCTGCTGGTGCAAGGTGCCTAACTCTGCCTCAGTGTTCATCCTCCAACTAGACAGAGTTCTCCCTTTTTAGGGTGGTTGTGAGGATTACACTGGCTAATGCACACCGTGCGCTGCTCAGAGTGGAGATCAATAAACAAGTTGGACCTTATCCTGCCTTTATTATTTCGATTTTCAGCCTCGCACACAGCCTGGTCAGCATGGGCACTCCACAAATATCTGTTGAATGAAGGGGGAGAAGGACGGAGAGAGGGTGGGTAGGCACCTGCCACCACTCACCCTCAGGGAGCTCTCTGCCAAGCCCCGCAGTCCTGCTTCCTCCCTGGCAGAAGCATCAGCATCCTCCCCCGCCCCTCCCCAGCGTGTCTCCAAAAGCTCCTAAGAGCCTCCTGGAAGTGTATGATTTCCTCCGCAGAGCCTGGTCAGGATGGCAGGGAGGCCACCATCGCACCAATTGGCCGTGGGAAAAACCAAGGTGGGGACGGGCACTTAGTCCTGAGTCCCCGTGAGTCAGAGGGTGGATGTGGGTGGCCCGGTTCCTGGCTGCTCCCAGAGCTCAGCCTGCTGTGTGGCCTCCCCAGGCCTCCCCACGGAGCCGGCCTCACCTCTCTGAGCAGCCACTGTGAAAACAGAGCAGTGACGGGGGAGTCCCAGCGGTTCTCAGCCTGGAAGGATCTCAGGGTCATGTGATTCTGGCACATTCTTTCACGAGGGCAGAACCTAAGGGTCAGGGAGGTCCTGCCCAGAGTCACCCAACAAATGAGCAGCAAGGGAGGGGCTTGATTTAGGTCCTCTACCTATGCCACCACCAGCCCTCTGCCCTCACTCAGCGGGTCCCTGAGCAAGGGGGCCCGCATGGGGGCAGGCCTGCTCGCCTGCCCTCGCCGCCCACACACACTGCACCCGCTGACACTGGTTGACCCAGACTTTGCTTCTCATCCCTGGTGCTCTGAACCGGGTGTGACCTCGGGCAATTCGCTTGCTCTCTCTCTGCTTCATTTTCCTTATCCTTCAAAGCACAGTCTCAACCCCAGTAGGACTTGTTAAAGGATAACGGAGTAATAGAAGTGCCTGGCAAAAAGTCAGGGCTCCATAAATGATGGTCATCATTACTGTTACTAAAACAGACTGGGGAGAAGTGGATTCCATCACTTCCCCCAGAGACTGTTTTCTAATGTGTGTTTCTTACATCCATCCATCCGTCCGTCCATTATCCGTCTGTCCGTTCACATTTTTTAAAAAGATTTTATCTATTCATTTGAGACAGACAGAGCATGAGGAGCAGGGGAGAGGCAGAGGGAGAGGAAGAAGCAGACTCCCCGCTGAGCCAGGAGCTCGATTCCAGACTCGAACCCAGGACACAGAGATCATGACCTGAGCCAAATCAGACACTTTACCATCTGAGCCACCCAGGTGCCCCTGTCCATCCACATTTTTGGACAACTTTAGTGTACTGGGCACTGTTTTAGTGAAGAAAACTAGAATTTGTCTCTCAAGTTATGTGATTCACTGTAGAAAATGCTGCCACCTGAGGCCCCGAGGGAAGGGGTGTCAGAGAGCCTTCAAGCGGCTCCTTGACACAAGGAGGTCCCAGACAAACAGTCAAACCAAGACCCTTTTATATGTATTAGAGTATGTACATTCAGAGGGACAGCTGGGCTGGGTGGGTGCGGATGCAGAAGGAGCCATAAGGTGTTGGGAGCTTGCCCTCTTGCCAGGCTCACACCACCTGCAGACAGAAGGACACCCTCCCAGCCCAGGCCGCCCGGCAGATAATGTAGGGGCCTCACCTGCTTCTTGGGGGCCCCTCCCAGCTCAACATTTCATTGGGGGTTCCCTTCAAACCCCTTGCAGGAGGACACCCCAGGCAGTGGCCCCGCTGATCCCCCCCCATGACCCCGGCCCAGCTCTATGCCCACTCTTGCCACAGATGCCTTTGCCCCATCGGTCCCAGCTAAGAACTCACACGGTCCATTTGGTTTAATCCTTCCACGACCCTTGAAGCAGGGCTGTGGTCTTCTACCCTAGAGCCTTGGCAAGGGGATAGAGCCTGGCCAGGCCTCACTCAAGGGAAGCGTGGGAAGGGCTGAGCTTTCCAAGGCCCCAGTGGACTAGGTTGGAGCATCAGCCTCTGTCCCTCCCGGATGGGCCTTGGGTGCTGGGCCTGCTGCCTCTGGGGCTGCCACGGCCGCCCTGGGGTCAGGAGGCTCTGGGGTGTGGACGCTGCCCTGTGGTGGCACTTAAAGGAGGACGGCCGTGTAATTGAGCCAAGATGGCAGAACCAGGCAGGTGCCAGGTCCTACAGGAGGCCGGGAGGGGACGGTAAGCGCCCCCGGGGAAAGGCTCTTCTCTTTTCATGACAAACACTCCTGGGACAAGCACAGGCACCTGTCACTGTTCCACAGGCCTACAGATTGCTTCAAAATTAGGGGTATTTGTCCTGAGAATGTGTATTGCCCTTTTGCGGAGCACGAAGGCCTTGGGAAGTACAGAACGTTGCCCGGTGGGGCAGGCCTGGGCACGGCCGGGTGGCAGTGCTGACCTCAGCAATTGGAGTCAGGTAGAGATTTGGGTTGGGTTTTGAGGCCAGCCCAGGAGGGGCTGGGAGGGAGAGGGGCCAGCGACCCACGGGCCAGGGGGCTACTCATATGGAGCAGAAGAGCCCGGATAGGGGTTTTGTCTCACCCCCAGGGGTGCCGGCCTCATGCTCAGGCGCTGGGCGCTGAGGGTCGCTGGAAACTGCCCCTGAGGAGAATGCCCAGGGCCAAGCCAGGGGAGGTGAGCAGTCAGGACCCGGGACAGCTCAGTGCCAGTAAACCCATCATCATCCCCATTTTGTAGACAGGAAAACTGAGACTTTAGCTTGCCCAACTGCCAACTATTCTCAAGTGGAAGAGCTGGGATGCACCCCCAGGTCCTTTTGAGGAGGCTGTGGGCTTTGGCACAGTGCCCTCTGGGTCTGGCATCACCGCCGAGAGGCATTGGGAAGGCCAAGTGACCAGGCTGAGCACCGTGGGCCAAAGATGCGCTGCACAGCCCAGAGGGACCAGCCCCTCTGGATCCAAGCCACACCAGGCCCGCTGCCCACTGGGCTGCTGGGAATGCTCCCACTCTCACCTGGATAGCGCAGCCTCACCCTCTGGACTTCAGTGGAAATTCCCTCTCTGGAGAAGCCCCCCTGACTTAGCCAGAGGCCACCTCTGCTCCCTGTGGTCTTGCCAGTCTCTGCCACATCACTTCCTGGTCTTGCCATCTGGCTCCTGTCCGGCTCCTGCACCAGACGTCAGGCCTGCCAGGCAAGACACTACATCATCCTGGGGTCTCCACAGAGCATCCCCTGGTCTCCAGAGCATCCTGGGGCCTCCAGAGCATCCTGGTGTCTCTAGGACATCCCAGTGTCTCCAGGGCAACCCATGGTGTCCTGAGCATCTCAAGGTCTGCAGAACATCCCGGGGTCTCCAGTGCACAGGTGAATAGTCACTGGCCTATGGAGTCAACATGCTCCCCACTGTGGTCCCCCTTGCCACCTTTCACTCAGCATATGGAAAGGAAAAGAGGTCATACTCTCCTGAGCCCCCTCCCAACATTCCCGACCTGGCCCTGGGTCTGCTCATGCTTC